CCCCCAGCAAATCGAGAAAGATTTCGCCTTGGACGAAAATCCCCAGCAAATTGGGATAATTTTCCTTCTAAGAAACGAGGACATTTTCCGTATTTTTAGGCTTCTTCCCTGTGTACGCCCCTGCGAATGCAGAATGAATTGTTAATTCAAACTATTTTCTTATCACGATGTCCATTGCGTCCAAATCAATAGATAGCAAAAAATTCATCTATTGTTATAGATTAAAGTATTTATTCACAAAGTATTTCACGAAATTGATATCAGATATTTTTTATATCGATAGAGGTTTTTTTTATTTGATAATAAAACTAATATATAATCGCTATCAAGAGATTCTTTCAAACACGATATGTATAAAGTGGAAAACGAAGTTGAGTGTCGATCCATAAGTGTGCAAAGAACGCACGTGTTCCAAAAGTAGTGGAAGAGAAAACAAAACAATACTCATCATATATTCCAAGAATCTATAACACCAATTGAATTAAAAAAAATTTTGCGAAAAATAAATAAATTATAAAAACATTTATTACGACACAACGTTTTTTTAAAATATAATTCCATTACTTCAATAATTCCTGAATTTGTGAAGCACAACAGTTTTATTTTTTTTTCGAATTGCGATAAGGCACAATGGACGTTAAGATTTATGATGCTATTCTAGGGGATAACCGTGAATTGCAGATCGAATAATTTATAATAATAAACGCTATTTCTCTCTATTTTTCACTAATTCTGCTAGTATTTCTACTAGTTTGTTCTAATACTGCTATTTTTTGCTAATTTCTCTAGTACGTCAAAAATATTGCATACGTCAGATTTGTTAAAATTAACGGTTTAATTTATCAATCGTGTTCATTTACATTTGGCTGTCATCCCTCTGGTGTCAAGCAAAGATATTAATTTTCAATTCATCCATATTTTATTCACATTGATTTCTTTCACATTCATTCATTCAGATTCAGACTCTCAATAAAGCAACACGCACTCAATACATTCAGACATTCATTGTACTTTTGTTTAGTTTCATTTCATGAATCATTTCAGTGGCTTTACTGCGTATGTAAGTAAATAACTTCCAACAAGATTGACAGCATGATCGAATAACTGAAATGTGTTTACGTAAATGTTTCAAGTTGACACTTTCCACGTGTATATTTGAAGCAGGCACTAGCGTATACGTTTTCAGTAAGAAATCTGTCATCAAATCTACATTTCCGATTGCAATTCGTAAATTGTAGTTAATACAGATGAAACGTGCTTGGTTACGTGCCATTGAATATATTTTTATTTAAAAATGAGAAAAAGCGTATTTAACTACATATTTTGATACATTTCAGTTCAGTACTATTCAATTCGTTTGTTTTGTGAATTTTATTTTAATTAATTATTTCAATATATTCAAGAATAAATGCTTACTAAAGTATATACGTGTACAGTGCTAATTCTGCTATTTATTGCTAATTTTGCTATTTTCTTCATGTAAATTTCCCTATTTTTTTTGCTAATGTGCTAATTCTAATTCACATGGATATCCCCTAGATGCTATTTCACATATCGATTGTGATGCCAAGATCTTTAGCAACCAATTGAGCGCAGAATTTCATCATTTGCGATTGAACTTTTTGGAAATTTTCGATGGCAAGTGGTTTGGCTTCCGCCCACTTCTCCAAATCCCGATAAATCGGTCGCACGTACTTCATACGGAAATTGCTGTTCAAGAAGTTGAACACTTGATTCAAACGATTGAACAATCGTCCTTTAACATAGAGACGGGCTAATTTAAACAAATACTCTGAATTGCGAGTTCCAACGAATCCATATGTAGTTTCTAATAAACTAATCCACGCTTCGGTGATTACATTGTCTGGATTCTGTACCAATTTTGTTAGCACTTCAATCAATTGCCATACATGCAAATTGGTATCGATGTCGGGGTGATTTTTAATCTTCTCAATTGGATTTTTGGTCCAAACGTCGACTTGCTTCTTCACGGCATCACTGTAGCTGGTGTCATAGTAAGGAACAATTTTCAATGGACCAGTCGAGTACAACCACGTATCCCAATCGATTTGAGCCAACTTATCATCGGCCTTACCTAAGGGGAGAATCACAAAAGAAAAGAACTAATTTAAAATAATCGACGAATAATCGACAGATAATCGCAAACATATAATGAAAAAATTGCAAAGCAATAACCACAACAACATTTATGTTCAGCAATTGCTTTTTGAGATTTGGTAGTTGTAATCGAAAAATAGTCGTAAAACAATCAATAATAATAAGTAAGTAATTTTTAAGTGATTTGCCCCTAGGCCTTACCGTTGAAATATTCATAGAGCGTTGCCTTGAAATCATCCGTAACGACCGATTTGTATTTGTATTTTTCCAAGTAAGTTCGGAAGAATGGCTCAAATTGACTTGGACCACCAAACAAATCTTCCAAGTAACGAAGGAAGTTTTGACCCTTC